GGCTGCTCCGTCATCAAAAACACGGGTTGGGCTGAGGGGGGATTGATCCAACTTAGGGAGATGGGTGTAGCAGACCTTGGCCGCCGGAAGGGCGGTTGGGAACGCGGTTCGTAGACGCGTCTGCTGTGGTTTCATTAACTTAATATGCTAATTTCATCAGAGATTCACCCAGCACCACAATTGAAATCTTTTTGGGGGGAGGAAGACGACGATCGGCTGCTCTTCTTGAGTGTGATGAGAAACACGTTAACAGTCATTTCGAGGGTAGGGTTTTTACATGGCGTATCTAAATGTCAAGCTTTCACAAGAACTAGTGCATACGTACCCAGCGGCAGAGCCGCGTTCCACGGCCTTCGTGAAACCCATGATAGGAAATCGTACGACATCGAGCTTACCGAATACTCGGGCTTTGTTAGCGACATTTGCAGGGCTCTGAGATCACCAAGTCTTACAGTAATGAATATGATGATGCATACTAAACGCGACGTATACCCTTGTTTACGCTCTATCGTCTGTCACACCGACGTTGTACTGATCGTACAAGCCATAGGGAACGGAGTTATCCCTTGCTGTTTGAGTGCATTGAACCGTACTTTGGTACTAAGAGTTGTCCGGTACGGAACTGATATTGCGGAGTTTGGCAGTAAATGTGTCTTTGCACCAGTTGTGCCCCCGATTGGGTTTCTAAACAGGGGAATGCAAAGGCGTAGCCAAAAACAGCAAACGAAGACTACTCAAGTAGAACTGGCGAGCAAGCACCATACCAGGCTGCGATAACATTCGTCTGCAGCATATCACCAGACAAAAAAACTAAGTGAATATGCGTGTCATGAGAAGAGGGTTGAAACCGCTGGGTGGAGGGCATAGGCGATTTTTTGCTAAAATGACGCTGTGTCTAATGTTGTTTTTGTAGGTGAAGATGAGCAGTAGACGACAAATGCTTCGGAGTGCGTACCTATGAGCTGACACAGAAACCAAGGACGCATCCGGTACGGAGACTCCAGATAAATGTTTAAACGGGAAGGTATACCAATGAACGCTCTCACCGTTGTTAAGTTTCGAAGTGTCGAGGGTTTGGGAATGAAATAAGATAGGCAGGAGAGCATATTTTATCCGAAAAAGGATCCAAGTGATGATAAAAGGAGTACTCTGAACCTTGGCCTAGAGTCAGCCGACTGAACTGTGGTGACATCTACATTCCTTGATCCAAGAGATGGTTTCGGCGATAAACACGGAGACGTAATTAAGGTAAGGGAGCTCATATATATTTGACGCTAGCGAAGTCTACCTATTGGATTTGCATATAACGTAGTGGACAGAAATTGATAGCGGCTAAGTTAGTGGGTGGTGCTGCAGTGGCGGTAATCAAAACTTTCCCTAAATAGTACGCCTGAATAGTTGCACCTTCAAGTTGACGCGTTTCATTTATTAAGACCAGAAGGCTCAATAGAGTTCCTCTCCTGGGTGCTTTTGTTGGTCTGAGGCGGACAGTATGCTGCTGAAAGCAGTGCAGCTATTGTAGGACTCGACTGTCAGACCTTTTAGTGGGTTAGTAAGAACGCGGCTACTTCTGTTGCCACCTGTCTTATTGGGTTGTAGTCAGTAGCACTATTTGACGTCAAACTTTGCTTGTTAAGCGTTTCACTAGATCTAACGAAAGTGCAATCCCCTGCTGGAAGCGGCCCTGACCTTGGAACTATCAGCGAACACGGTCGCACCTCCACGATTTTATTCGTCTGGATTCCGTGATTTAGAAACGGAGATCTAGTTCAGTCTAGTATTGCTAGAACAGAGATGGAGTTCGTAAACCCTAAATGTTCTGGAATTTTCGAATTTCGATACTGTGCCACTGTGACAGGTACAATAGACACCGGGCGGCCACTTCTGGTATAGTTGCCGTTTTCCTAACCTTAAGAAGGCTAGTTTTTAAAATTAATTTCTTGCTTTTCGCGTTTAATAGGCATCAGCGATCCTGCGAGTAAAAATATGACTGCCTGATACATTGTAGGTACTTTTAACGTCGTGTTCGGGTGCTCAAAAATTGTAAATTCGAATCAGTTGGTTAGCGAGAAGGGTTGAGTCAGATGCGCTATTTCTTTAAACTGCGAGCCTATACCCTGTTGATATCGATCACAATATTTACTGTGACGAATACGACTCGATCGATGAGACAACACTTATATTCGGCTGACGTTTCGAGATCCGTCGCCGATTCATCATCAAAGACATCGGCAGAAAGCAATAGCAGATAAGGGACCCGTATTTACGATATTTATTGTCGCTGATTGTCATGTTCACCAGTCTATTCGGGTTGCACGACGTAAATGGGTCTTACCACTTTGTTAACGTTTTTTTAAATATTTTAATTCGATGTACTCCCCAGTAGAGCGAAAGCATCGGTCCTGTGGCACAGACTGCGTGGTAGAAAACCCAAATCCATAAACCATTTATAAAAAATTGTAGGAGGAATACCAACAAATACGGTCAGTTCTATTGTATTTACCACCATTAACTAGGCAGATTCAAACTTCAGGCTGGGACCACTTCATATCTGAACAGATCTGTTCATCAACCGGGATGTTGGAGGAGCCATCTGTTCTTGTGTTACAAAAGATAATTAGGAAGCTCTTTGACCAAATACCCTGGTTTGGATCTCCGGGCTTCCGGTCTATGGTTTCGTCAAGACACAGAAGCGGCTTTTAGCCGTACGGTACTCCCTCTGTTGCTGGAGAAGGGACTTAACTTTCGAAATCCATTGCCGCAAATCTTCCCGCGTGGAGAGGCACAATAGGCTATATAATCGGGGCCGGCTGGATCAGGCATGATCACAATCATACCAAGTACGAGTACTTATGTTTGGATCCACTGGCCGGTGACGGATAAAAACTCAGACGTAGTCATCCTCTAGCCCCTCGTTTGCCAATCACTGCGTCATTTATTGTTTTTCGCTACATGACCGCCTGTGAGGTCTTTGGATTGCGGTTCCAAGGCGAAGCCTAAAAATAACTTTTCCCATAACTGAATAGATGAAACGCAACTTTTTAGCTTATCCTAGATCGTAGCAATGAAGCGCGGACGTGAACTTTCTGTCGCCTCAAGGGTCTTTGTGACTTAGGCAGACTCATCGTTGGGGGGAGGTAGATACGGCAAGGTTTTCTATTACTCTCCAAATTATTACCCCATAGAGAGCAAACTGTTCGTAACGGTTTCTGACGATCGACTGTCAACAACAGCAACAACCTTTTGTATCCCATGAGCATGCAGTGTTCAAGTGTTTCTTCCCCTTCCGACTGTTAGACATTCAAGTACCAGAATAAGCATTCCCGGAAGCGTTCAGTGGTCAGACCATTTTACTCGGTGTGGAAAATCGCTAGCTGGGTAGCAGTACTACAGGCCACGATCTTATGCGGTATTTAAGTTTACTAAATACAAAACTTGGTACGACAGTTGAACAGAAATTTCTACCTCATTTACAGGTGACACTTATGTCTTCGTTCTTACCAACGGGAGAACTGGCCTTTGCGAAATAATTTAATTACGCCAATAACTTGGCCTAGAGGCAGCCAAACGGTCAAATGACGGCCCTAATAATCCGCGACCTTTCAAATGGGTCCCAGACTGAATATGTTCAGAAAAGGTCACACAGGGACAACCTTCCTCCGCCTCCACCATGCTTTAAGGACACAAATGTCATAAAGCGAAGTTGGATGCGGCGAATGACTAGACAGTCCGTTTGCACATACAAGAACCACACGTGTTGGCATACGTGCCAAGGCCAGAATATGCACAACTTCAGGCCTGATGCCACAGCTCAAAACTATTTCCGAAGCCCCCCCCCAAAAAAAAAACACGAGAAAGGAGAGGAACAGCGAGAAATGAAACCTTGTAGTTTACACAGGAGGGTGGCATATGTACAGAAAAGGCATCTGTTTAGGGAACGACCAGGCAGGCATAGGGAATTACTTTTTCTTGAAAGGGATCCGTTTCTTGGCTGAGAGCGCCTCTAAGGTGGTGGGCTTCATGCGTCGGATGAAGGGACCCTTGGCGTCGGGGGAGAAGAGCCGTTCGGTAACAAAGGCGTCTGTTCTGGCGCGGACTGCCTCTGTGCCAGTGCGGTCCAGGATAACCACCCTGGGCACTGCGGAATGTTTCTTTCGTACTCGACGACCGCCTCTGCGGTTGGCTGGTTTGGTCTCTTGCGAGTCGACAGTAGCCTTCGCCTTATCTAACTTTGCCTTCTTGCCTTTCTTGACTGGCCTCTGTTCATCGCTGCCATGATATCCTTCGTCAGAGTCTGAAGGGCGAACAAAATAAAGGATTAACTAACTAGGCACGTGGGAGTCTGGACAAAAGGCTGCTACTGATGCAGACTGTCGTGTAACTTAAAGCAGCCGGTAAACAAGTTGTGCTAGGAAGGGTAAGAAAAGAAAATGGTGAGACAAAACAGCAATGCCAAACGCTTTATCTGGAGAAGGCACGGCGGAGGCCTCGGTTATAGTACACTAGACAGATCACTGCGTTTACCTCGGGGCCTGACGACTCTGGACACTTGGTCGCTGTCTGACCTACTGCTTTTCTATCAGCTCCCGCTAAATGTGGAAAAACGTTGGAGGCGTGCGCAGCAGACTGTGTAACTTGCTCGGTTCCAACAAAGCCCGTCAAGGGATCTATAGGACGACACAGTGTCACTATAAGTTATTAAGGCGTTTCATCCTCCTCCTCCCCCTCCTCCTCCTCCCATAACTGAACTCAATGCTAAACTCACAGAAAAATATTATGCAAGTGGGCGGCTTAGCTAATTAACGACTTCCCGCAGTTTCTGAATTTAATATCAAGTGTTGTAGTCCGCACTCACAGCACGCCAATCCCCGGGTTCTAGGATCGTGCTAGACAACGGGGAAGTAGTATTTCAGGCTGAGCGACATTTGCTGTGTTGCGAAATTGTTATAGCTCGTCTTTTTTATGAGTAAGCGATTTGTCCAAAACCATCTGGAAGTAAAACCGCCGGATGCTTTCTGACTACCTATTCCTCAGCCCCAAAAGCTCGTTTATTTTGCAGCATTCTCAAAGTAGCAGCGTAAGTTAAAAATCAAATGTCAGAACAAAGTGGAGTACACAGACGCTGATACATTTTGGAGCACAAACAACTGTTTGCGGTGGGTTTCCAAACACTGCATGACTCTAAACAGACCTGGACTTTTATAAACTCTATAGTTTAATGTCGAAGGTGATAGGGCAAAATTTCGTCGTAAGCGTGTCCACAAGGCAGAGATAGATTAACTGAAATCGAACCTGCACGCGCGTCTATTGTAATTTGCGCACATATAAGGCATACTAATTAGCGCGTGGTGTGCAGCTACAAGCCCACAATTTGTCTAGCATTTCCAAGGCACAGTTAAAAGCATGTAACGGGTGGCCAACTACATGCGCATGAATAAATGTGCAGTGGTCACAAAACGCAAACGTTGGATTCGTCCAGCTGGTCCATCTGGAGTTGCTGGCAGTCAGGGGCAAGGAGCAAAGGCAAGAAAAGTGAACTTAGAGGAATCGTCCAACTCGCTAAGAAAGTAAGTAGCAGGACTCGATAACTTGAGGCAGTGAACAAGTTCACTGGAATTAACAGAAGACGTCCGCTATCACAAGACCAATGTAGTGAAACATACAAAAGAAACACATAACTACTAACTAATATACAGTAGACATTTTAAAATCTTCTTTCCAAGGAATGTG